TAGAACTGTATAACTCACTATATAAACTTCCACAGTAAAAATATATTTAAAGATAAAGTAAAAAGAAACTTAGCATGGTTACAGCAAAAGAAATAGATAATTAAAGAGTAAGGAGCTCCCATATTTCATTCCTTTTTTCATGTGCTGTAATGTGCYTCCTATTCTGGTTGGAATTTCATTTGATAGATCCAAGATAGATCCATTTTCCACTCGTAACCATAATGACATGCAATATAACAAAAAAAAATCTGCCTTAAAAACTAGTAGATCTGTACATACATAATTCACACATGCCCATGCCCCAACACACAAGGCAGATTAGAATCCTGAATTTACAGGGCCTCATTTTCACCTAGGTAGTCAGCACCTAAAAATGCCCACAGYTTGTTAGTGGAGAACATGCAGACAAGCCAGAAGACAAGTGATTTAAAAAAAGGGCATCAGAGCTTGTARCCAACAAGGTGGGACTTGGGGTGAATAAACATTACATTTACATTACTACAAATTCAGATCAGGGCTGAAATCACAACTGCATGCATTATTTTATGAATAAATATATCTTCGTTTGCTTTCTTTAATTCCTTTGAAGATTCTGCTTTGCTTTACATCTAAAGACAGACTAGATAAAAAGGACAGAATAGATGCAAAGGAGAGAACAAACATTTCTGGTATAGTCTAATGTTCTCTCTAGGTCAATTCATAGAGGAAGAGTTAGAATGGATTAGCTTACAGATACTATCCTTTAACCTCAGAATATTGCTGCTTTCACTGTAATACTGACTGTTACACATTTCAGTGCTAAAGCCTAACCCTCACCTGCAGGTAACAAACATCCCATCGAGATGAAGACACTTTTCATACCAAACCCACTGGCCTGAATTTATTCCATGTTTTAACCCATTTCAAAGATATTACACTAGCCACAGATTCTGCCATACCTCCTTATACTCATAATTCATAATTACTTTCAGCAGGCCTACAGATGTAGAAACCTTAAAAAGTTTTCAAGTATTATCACCTTTGCAAAAGCTTAAGCCATGCAAAACAAACAAYAACAAAAACACTTCCCAGCAGCAGCCAAATCTGTTCTACTACTATAGCACCATTTTTCAATTTCTAAATTTACTGTATCATTTTGAACTTACATTCTGTTTCATGCTTATAAGCACCTAGTGTTAGTTGACGAGACGTTGTTAACAGCTGCTGCATCATCGCAGTAGGATCTTGAAATATCTAATGAAGGAGAAAAAAAGATACATAGAATCACTAATACTCCTTAGAAGAAAGTGAGGATTACAATAGAAGTTTTCATACCATTTCATCGTAGAATTCAGAAACTACAGTTTTCTTCCCCAGGATGGCATTAGTATCAGACTGAAAAAGCTTCAACAAATGATACAAGGTTACCTGTACAAAGACAATATTTTATTARTCTGACAACTGTAGAGAAATACAAGGAGGTTCTAAACGGAAATAAATGCTACTTGTCCTTCCCTTACAATTGTATAGGATTTTAAAATCTCTTAGTAATGAAAAAATAACACTGTTCAACAATTTCAGTAGAATTACTTAAATTCAATATTCCTTGCTAAACATGTCAGCTGTCCAAAGTCTGTCTGAATGCTGAAAAACCRTCTGGGTGAACAGGATCTAAAACAAAAACCACCACTTTAGATTTGATGTATATTTGATTAGATTTGATGTATAAAAAAAAATAGTTTATAGCCTTTGCCAGTAAATCAGTTAAAAAAAAAAAGCATGCTTTCTAGAACTGTATCGTGCCTTCTTGTGGATGAGCAAGCAAACGCACACACACTGTGACAGAGTCTCCTGTCACACTTCTCTCTGCAGAGGGAAGCTGCTCTCCATCCCTGTGCTGTAAGCAACAGGAGATGGAGAAGATCACGAGCCCCRCTGTTCAGTTCCAGGAATCCACAGAGGGCTGTTATGGGCAGCCAATACTGGGTCCTTTCCATGAGGGCACCTATGAAGCACCTSGAAGAGATTCAGTCCTTACTTCTTTGAGGCATCGAGGAAGAAATTCAGGCCGTACTTCCCCTTGATCTGTCCTGCCAGGGGAGGAGAGGAGAGAGAACCAGCCTTCTAATCTGGCTATTCCTGATCACACTCCCCTCAAAAAATTCTCCTCACTTTCTTTGTGGCTTACTAAACTCCTTCAAATAACAGTGACTTGCAAGTAAGAGAGCATCCACTGTAAAGCCAAGTTGGAACAAAAAGGCTTCTAATTCTCAAWGGAATTAGAGAGGCTCCAGGCTCTAAAACAACCCCTTAAGAAGCAAAGACAACACTCCAGCAACTGCAGGTCAGCTTGATCAACCTGGGAAAGGCAATAAGGATGGCAAGTCGGGATGCAAGTGAGTGTGAYGATACAGACCAAGCGTGACAGAGTGATGATCCTGAAGGGAATACGGTGACACAGCCCCTTCCACTCCAGCATCAGTGGTTACGTATTCAAGAAAAACTTAATTATAATACTCTGTGTCAGTGTCTTAGCCTGGTTTTCTTAAGAAAGAGGCAAAGAAAAACTATGCTGCTTTTCTGATTGATTTCATCCACATTCAAGAGTCGCAAAAATCTTTAAGGTYCTTAAAATATTAGAATATCTTGCAACTAGGAAATCATATGGCAGAGAAATCCTCAGTAAGTGCTCAGCCCAGACAAGGTGCAACACATTTCCTAATAAATGAACACATTAGGGAAACTAAGTATGGCAAAAGCTCCTAAGAACATCCCACCCAGCAGGAAACAACAGAGACATCATGGCCTACTATTAAATACACTTCCTGCAAGGACAGGGCTTATTTCCATRGCTGATGGGACTTATTTTGACTAATAACAACATGCTCCACAGTTTTATGCATGCTCTCATAATTAGTTAAGCATTATCAGAAGTCTGAAAGAAGCACTTACAGGTCTTTCATTTGGATCAATGAAAAATATCTTAATGATTATTTCGAATTCACCCCAGCCTGTTTCAGTGATTTCATATGGTGGTTTGGTGACAACTGCAACAGAAGAACAGAAGTATTAGTACAGGTAACCCAGTCTCAGTTGAACTAGTCCAAATCCGAGCTCTTGAAGTAACTGTCAAAATGCAAAATCTACCTCGTAAGGGATTGCCATAGCTTTCGTGTAACTTGAATTGAATTTTCTTCACATAGGCAGACATATCCTGAAATAGAAAATAAGTTATTTGTGATTATTTATGCAACATACTAAATTGCTGCTTGCTTGTCAATCCTACACGCCTGTGACTTCCACTGGTATGGCTACTGCTAAAAACAAAGAGACAAGCCAGCATGTAAATCCAAGAGCTCATCACGTCACACAAGTCCTTCAATATCTTGTCCCTACGAATGTTCTGCAATTTCCCTCTCCACATAAGAAATCATTCCAGAAACATAAAATGAACTTTTTTTTAAGCTCCCAATCAGTGCCTTTCTTCACCACCTGCCCAGATATCCTTCGGCTTTTCACCACGCTCTGGCTCCCTCTTTAAAGCCCAATTCACTTTTACAATATAAGACTTCTCAGCACTAGAGACCAAGGAGGCACATTTATCCYATAAGCATTTCACTGCAAATAATTTCCCTATCACTGTAAATCCAAAGCAACAAAGAGCAGCTCTTCCTACAGCCACAATACAGCCAACAACCACGTGTCCTTTAAACACACCCACACAAAGGGCAATTCTACAACTTTTGCTTAACTTCTGCAAGCCTAGTAAAGCTACTCGAAAACAAGCACAACCTTCAACACTTGCAGGGCAGAGCAGCTAAATCACGCCAGGCAGTATCTATATGTCTTTAATTCACCATATAGGGACACGGCGACATGGACCCGAGGGCCATCCCGCGGACCAGGGCAGGGATGCTGCTCAGGGGCGCCCGGTTTGCCGCCCTACCTCGTTCCTGTAGGGCTTCACGTAGACCGTCCACTGGTGCGTGTGCCCATCCTCTTCCCTCTTCTTGCCAAAGTACCGCGCCACGTTGCCGTACACTATCGGCTTCACAATAGTAACACCCTTCGGGGAGCRGCGAGAAATAAGACAGAAAGAAACAGAAATAAATAGAAAGACTCTTCTAATAGGCTATTCTAAGACTATTTGCTGGAGTTAAGCACTCCAGCAAAGTGAATCGATTAAAGTAAATTAGCAGTAATAATGAAAACTTCACGCACGCCGAAAAGYGGGTGCTTCAAAGCTCTTTCCAGGCCGAGGTGCGGCGCTCTCAGGCCGAGCCCGCCTTGTTATCCCAGCGGAGAGGCCGGAGCGCTCCCGCCCGCGGCCGTTACCGGGCAGCGCGCGCCGCCGCGCGGCCGTTACGGGCCCTCTCTCTTCCCCCCCGCTCCCCGCCCGCCCCCTTCCCCGCGCCGGGGCCCGGCACCTTCACTCTGCCCCCGGAGTCAGGCCCGAACTCAGCCATTCTCTTGAACATATTGCACCGGAGGAGGAGGCGCCGCCCGGGCCGCGCCGCCCGCGCTCCGCCGCCCGCCCGCCCCGCAGGCCCAGGCGCGGCCCGGCAGCAGCAGCAGCGCCAGCGCCACCCGCCCGACCGCCCGCGCGCTGACGTCACCGCCGACGTCGCCGGAGCGGGACGGCCGCGGCCCAATGGGAGGCGCCGGGGGCGGGGCCGCGCGCTGCGCGGCCGTTGGCGGCCGTTAGCCGGTAACGGCTTCTCTTGGTTTTCCTTTTTTCTTTTTCTTTTTTTTTTTTTTTTTTTTTTTTTTTTTTTTTTTTTTTTTTTTTTTTTTTTTCCACACACCAGGAAGCCGAGAACGCCATCTCCGCCGCTACGGACATGTGTCCCTAAGGATACAGCTACCGGTGATGGTGATGAAACTATACAAAAACGAGTAAATCAATGGAAAGCCGTTTGCAGGTATTTTTAATGACTTGTACATTTAGGCTGTAAAGCAAGTAACATGCTGGCATGCAGTTTCAAAAACTAACAAGTTTTCAACTAAAAGAGATCTGTGCTCTTGTCTACCCATAGCAAAAGTAATAAGCCAGGCAGTGGAAATACCAGCCATTCCATCGGCAAGGTATAAAACACCGACTCTTTGTGTATTGGCTGTGTTGCAGTAATTCACCTGGATTTTATTTTAATTGCAATCAAGTGTGTAAAGCAGCACGCTGGAGAAGCGGCCAGCTTTGTGTGAAAGCTGCTCATTCGGATGGTGCCACAAAACATCAGCGCTCACAGCYGGCAGCCTCTGACCCACTGGGAGACATCCCTTCCTTTGCAGTGSTTGCGCCACGCGACCCTGTGGAGAGGAGGATGGCAATCAGTTGTGGTCGACTCGGAAATCAGTAGGGAAGGGCTTTACTTAACTCTGAGCTAACTTGTGCAGAAGGTTTATATGCAAGTCATTTGCCAAAACTTCCCCAAAGTCTCTTACAAGCTGGATAAAAACACCCAATATCCAGCGACTGCCGGCTGCCCCTATCAGTGAGACTTGCTTCTTTGTATCGTGATTCACTAAGAGGCAGAATAAAAACATGCCTGCAGTTGTTAAGCACAGGATCTGTTTTACTAAGTAGAAAAGAAATGGGGGCCCACTTCCCCTCTGAACTATTGAGAATTTACAAGAATACAGGTATATAACTAATGTAAAGAAATCCAAGAAGATAAAGCATTTTCCATACTGGAATGTAGACTCCAGAAAGCCCAGATGTCCAACAGCTGGAATGATCCAATTAGGAAAGTCCATCTTTGTGAGCTAATGGTAAATGAGTATTACAGCCCACCAGAGATAGGTGAGGCTTGATCTTCCTCCCGTGGTAGGTATGCATGAGCGTTAAAGTTGGCCCTTTAGCACTTGCCAGCAAGTGGCACGGAAATTAAAAAGGAGGTGCCAGCTTCAGAGGCAGCAAGAGCTGAGAGAGAGGAAACRTAGGGGGTGGACCTAGGGCTAGGCTGCTTTTTCTTATTATTTTGTGAAAGCAGTAAATTTAAATAACTTCGCTTTGTTAAAGAGGAATAAGATGCTTACTGTCTGCTTTGTAGTCAAAATCAAAATCCCAGAATCCCAGAATGGTTGRGGTTGGAAGGGACCTCTAGAGATCATCTAGTCCAACCCCCTGCTCCAGCAGGGACACCCAGAGCACGGGGCACAGGGCGGCATCCAGGCGGGTTGGGAAGATCTCCAGAGAAGGAGAAAACTAATGACATGCCTGTTTTCTCTCCAGAGAAAACTAGGGACATGCATGCCACTTTTATTATGTCATGTTTATTTAACAGTTTCTCTTCCAGTCCACTATTAAAAGAGGTAGGAAGCTGACATGATATAAAGAGTTTGCTGCACATCGTAGTTTTAAGGACACTACAGATGTTGCAGGTGCAATGCACTGGCTCACCCATCCACAGTTTAGCTACCTAGCTTACATGTTTTAAATTATTATATATATATATAATATATATACAGGCAACTGCTACAATTTGCTTGTTCTTTCTGAAGTTGGTCATATTAAAATGAGTGATATTCTCCCTCTTAATTGTCTGTGCCCTAAAAACGCAAGTGTTTCTTTAGCCCAGTGAAACATACCATGCATTCATGCCATTTTTATCGCTGACAACCTTCTTTGCGCAGTTCACCGATGCTGTTATGTCCGAACTCAGAAGTGCTTAAAAAGAGAAGCAGGAAAAATGTCAACATTCTTTTTCCTTCTCATCTTTTCACTATAATAGTCTTCAAATACATCTTTAGATGTAATGCTTGCCTAACCAGCCCTCAGGAAGCAGAAATTCCCAACTCCTCTSAGTGCACAAACTAGATCTCAGGCGRGCAGGGTATGAGGTACTTGTAGTRCTTCTTCTTAATACAAAGGGGGATGGCAAGACTAACACTTGGGCCAGGGCTTTTCAGCGGGTCAAGCTCTCACTCCCTTTAATGTAAATTTTTTTTTCAAGTCATAACTAYTAATTAATAACTGGCTTCTATGGAAATCTTTTTGCTAAAGTAACACAAAGGTGGACAAAAATGGCAATGTACTTCCTGCTGTAAAGACACCTTTCCCTAGCACACTGGATATCTCTCTTCTGATGAGGAATGGATGGGCTTGAATTCTGTTCTGTTTTGTTTAAGATAGGGCCATAGCCAACAGCCACTTACCTGTTTGCATTTGGAAAGAGAAAGGGCAGCCCATGGCAGTACCGCCTATAGCAACACCAGAGGGGCTCACCTGAGCAGGGGATTCTGCAGATATTCTTGGTCCCCGGGGTCCGGTTGTCATTGCACCACCAGCGGCTGTTGATCTGCAAAATCCCGTAGTCGGAACTGCCGTCTCTGTTCCGGTTTATGGCCCCGGTGTTGAAGTTGCTCTCATATCTCGCTGCACAAACCCCTGTCAAAGGTCCATTTAAAAACATGGACAATCAATCAAACAGAAGGTGTTTTTTTTTTTTTTTTTTTTTAATCCAGCTATGCAGCCCGTCTTTTCCCTTGGTTAAAAGATGATTGCATAAAAATGCATGCAACAGATGGGAATTATTTTTATTCTAATCCAACTAAACATATAAAAATAAATAAATGAATACATAAAACATATGTAGCATGTCTTGACTTCAGAATGTCCTAAGAAACCCCAACATGGGATCTCTGCTCTTGAAATAAATTCACAATAGATTTCTGCAAATTGCTCTTCATATAGAAGTGCAAATGAAGCCCAACAAATACTAGCCCAGAAAGAGTTGGAAACGGCACTACCCCCTGCAAAGCACAGTGTGGTCCTGCCTGCCTTTAATCAGGGCTCTCCTTTAGGCAGGCAGGACCGAAGCTCAGGTGAGGTTTCACGAGACCCCCTTGAGAAGCCAGGGGGTGTCAGGACATTTTCAGCRCCGTCCATGCCCTAGTTTGCACCGTTTAGGGCACAAATAGTGGATGCCGCCCTGTGCCCCGTGCTCTGGGTGTCCCTGCTGGAGCAGGGTGGGTGGACTAGATGATCTCTAGAGGCCCCTTCCAACCTCAGCCATGCTGTGCTGTGCTGAATGCTCTGCCTGGTTTCTTTCTCGGGCAGCTCGTGGGGCACTCGGAGCTTCGCGGTAGCCCTGAGAGCTGCCGCTGCTCTTGGAGGCAGTCCCATTCACTCTCACTGCATCCGTGCTAGGACAGCAAAAAGARGCAAGGATGGGGAGGGCAGGTCTTTGGAGTGTGGGCAGCGTGCAGTCAAAATGGGGATCTCACTCCAGATTCTGGACCAGAAAACTTGCATGCTTCCCTTAAAAGGCAATGGGTTTAACGGAGTCTATTACCACTTCCCATCAGAGAAAAGAAGTCTTCAGCCTCCCCCTCACCTCCCGCCTTGTCCCTAGGAGCCTCTTCCTGACTGGCCATTCTGGAACGGCCTGACCAGCGTCTCTTCCCTTCCACTGCTATTTCTAATAARCCAGGCAAGCCGGGAAGGGTCCCGCTGATGCCCCTCGCTGCCAGCCTCCCGCTGCGTCCCAGCTCCCAGCCCTGCTTGCTCCACAGCTTTACCTTCCCACTCTGCCCTGGCCTCCCAGGACACAGGATGCAGGAGATGCACCCAGGCAAGCAGCAGCAGCGCCCTTAGGGCCTGGGAAGGTGTGGGGCAAAAGGCTCATTCCAGGAAAAGCTTCTCCATGATTTTAGTTTTACTGAACTGTGGAAGGATGGGGACACCACAAGACATCAGACTTACAGTTTCCCAGGCTGTATCCACGGAAGTTATGCAGTCCAAGCCTCTTCATAGCTGCTGCCAGCTCGCACCTCCCATAGACCTTTCCCTGAGCAAGCAGGGGTAGGAGGCAAAAGCCAAGGATTAGCAAAAGCTTCATGTTGCCCATGTGGTGTGCGCAGCCTCTGGGGACGAGACTGCAGGCTGCCCTGCGCTGCGCCCCCTTTTAATGCCTCCCCGCCCCCTTAGGTTCCTCTTCCTCTACCCCACGCTGCTCCACACCACCATCGGAGCAACCCGGGAATTTCCCGGGACTCACTTCCCGAAGCAAAGCCAGGCTCGGGGGGGCTGTGGGCGCAGCGGGGCTGGCAGCCGTTCCCTGGCTGGCAGGACCACGGGGCCTCCTCAGCGGCCCTGATAAACCAGGCCTGGTGTGAGAGCCCCACGCGATGCAGCACCAACACCCTCCGCACAACTGASACATGCAGGGGGCTTCACAGCTACCCCCAAAACCCAAGGGCTCAGCGTGAGCGCTGTATTCAGGGGCACAAGGACACTGAACTACCAGAAACGGGTAAATGACACTCAGGGCCATTTGGTGTTTACTGGACTTTGAAATTCAGGTCTTCAGATTGTATCTGACCTGTCTCGAGTAACCTCTGTTCAGTCACTAGACAAAAAGACACCTTTGTAGTCTCAAAAGAAGGTCTCTTCACAGTAAATGCAGCTAAAACCTTTAGCCTTCAGATCTAGATTTGCCTTTTTTTTTTTTTTTTTCCATACCCTTGTTTGACTTTGTAACCAGAATTATTCAGTTACCAGTGATAGGTGTGTAAAGCTCACCCAAGCAGCTCCAAACAGCTCCTCCTGGCATCCTCCATGCCCCATCCCTGTCCCTGTCCCCATCCCTGGGATGCAGCTCCTCACAAGTCTGAGAGGCCCCCGTGCACCAGAGTGAAGTAGTGGGACAGCAGCCCTSTCTCATTTGTACCTTTCTTTTCCTGGGACAAGCAGTGCACTCTCCTTAGCTGTGCTAATTGCTCTTTGCTAATTGATAAGCCTACCCCTTATGACACTGTGCCAGGTAATGGTGGATGTCGTTACCAGGAAGATCTTGTGCTGGTGATGAAGATTAACTCACCTAAGCCCAGCGGCTGTTGCCTGTCCGGATTATTTTACTGTCTCTTTTAATGAGATTGCACAACAACCAAGAGGGAAGAGCCAAAATCTTAAGAAATTCCCATCTTGCAACCCCCAATGGGTGGAATTAGTTATTTCCAAATACCTGTAAAGAAATGTGTGGCTTTCTGTTGGTCAAACAGAAGTATTCATAGTTAGTTCCTCATTCTCTTGCCAGCAGGSAAGCAGCCATCTGCAGCTCTGCCAGCCTGACCCATCTGGCTCTCCCGCGGCTGAAGAGCAGACTGGGGGGCTCCAAGCCACCCTTTGGGCTTGGGTTGTTGCTCAGCCTGGACACCCCCAGTAGGAAAGGCCCTACACAAATAGCTCCTCCCTCTGTGATACTGGGGAACTCTTCCCCAAACACCTGGGTTCAAATTCTTACTCCAGATCCAGAAAAAAAGAGCAATCCCAATGTGGATCTGAATCAATTACATCTTTCTTCTCTTCCTGATTCCTTCAAGGCCTGGTCTAGCTCATACAGGAATCTGACTTTTCTGGACAGGATCAAATGATTAGGGGACAAGGGCTAACGGGTGTTAGTTGAAACCCAGGCAGTTCCATCTCCATGTGAGGAGGAATTTCTGCACTGTGAGGGTGACAGAGCCCTGGCACAGGGAGGCTGTGGAGTCTCCTTCTCTGGAGATCTTCCCAACCCGCCTGGATGCCGCCCTGTGCCCTGTGCTCTGGGTGTCCCTGCTGGAGCAGGGGGTTGSACTRGATGATCTCTAGAGGTCCCTTCCAACCTCAGCCGTTCTGTGATTCTGTGATTCTGTGATTAAATCTTAGGAGCAGGACACAGGGAGAAATGCTCAAGCTGCAAGTCCCGCTCAGACCTAGACAGGGGCAGCCGGAGCCACAACCCGCTGCGGCACAGGGCCCATTCGAGCAGCCTCGCAGCCTGGCAYGCAGCTACTTCAGACACCCCCTGCATGGCACCACAGCTGAGAGGGTCTGCAGGGCACCTGGAAAAGCAAAACGTCCCTGGTGCATTGGGGACCTGGAAAAGTAAAAAGTCAGCAGGGAGCCCGAGGGCCCTCGTTCAGGCCTTGGCTGGGGACCTTCTGTGCCTGCTGCTACAGTGCCCAGTGCCATCAAAGCCCTCCGCAGCCCTGCGGGCAGGGATGGCTCCATAGGGGCCGAGCAGACAACCAGGCTTGCTCATGGGATCCCCACCCTTTCAAACCCCGTACAACTACATCAAAACATGACCCTTCACAGCAGCACAATGAGGGAAACACAGGTCAAGAAATGACTTCACAGGTGAAATGCAGGTCTGACCCTCTGGCTCCTGGGAAGAACTGCATGGAATTGCTCCTTGGAGGATGCGCCGAGGCGGGCGGGCAGGACCGGCCTCTCTCCTGCTGGCTGAGCCGCGTGTGGGACGCTGGTACCCTTAAGCTGCAGCCACAGCGCAGCCCAAGGAAACGGCTCCCCTCTTGTGAAAGGGAGGAACCGGAGCCCCGRGTGTTAGTAAATTCCTGTTTGACCCAATGCTGTAATTCCTAAGAAACCTGCAGAAATGGCAGCGTATTGCAGACATTTTTATGAGGCAGCCATGGCGTGTGCCTTGTTCAACTGCTCACATGTGACCCTGCTGTCACCCTGCCCATACCTGTGGAGAAGAAAAGTGAAGAAACCCCAAACTTTCTCCCTCGCTCCTGTCCCCCGGTGCCTTTTCTGTCTGTCACCGGGTGCCCTTTTGTATCACAGAACCCCCCCGCCGAGCTCTTCCATTCCTGAGCCGGGAAGGCAGTGCCGAGGGAAAAGCTTCCAGGACACAGGAAACCTGCAAGGAGAGGGGCTGGGAAAGGCCCAAGAGCCCGGCCTGCAGTGATCCACCTCCAGAGGAAATCCCYGTGGCCCACTGTCCTGGCAGGGCGGCTCCATCCTGCTCTCGGGAAGCCTGGGAGCACTGGGGGTAACACGGCGGCTGTGCAGAGCTCTGACAAAAATCCCATGGGCATGCAGGGGAGGTCTTGAAACGCTCTTACTGTGCAAATGTAACTGGGTTTTTATGAACTGCAATTCCTATAATCAATTTATAAGCACATTATCCTTCCTACTCAAAAAAATAAACAAACAAAAAACCCCTTTCCCTCTGCTTTTCTCTATTTAATGAAAACTGAAATCTTTCATGAAAGGTGACTTCTGCCTAAGGAAGCTTCTGTTCCGCTCATCGCACCTGCTGTACAAAGTTGTTTYGGGAGAAGCTGAAGATCTGGCTCGCTGCAGATGGGTGTTAGTCCGTAATCCCAGTAATCACCCGCACGCTCAACCTGGTGGTTTAAAAGCAAGCTTTATCAGCCGGCCGGCGGCGGACTTCTTACAGATTGTCCTGAGATCCGCGCCGTTTGAGGAGAGGTTCATGTTTTCATAGACGACTACAACTTCTTTGTTAAACGTTATTTATGACCACCATTGACTAACCCCCTTTTCACAATCCCCTTACCATTTGGCATGTTTGGAATCTTATCTCAGGGTCACGGCAAAAGCAACAAGAGCAGGGTATGTATCCTGTTAGTCCTTATACTCCTTTGTAGCAAGCGATATTTACAGAAGCAGATGGCAAGTTTAACTGTAAATTACCTGTTAGTCCTTATACTCCTTTGTAGCAAGCGATATTTACAGAAATGGATGGCACGCTACCCTGTTAACCCCTTATAGGCCTTACATTCCCCACTGGCTGTTGTTTCTTCCTCAAATCCTTGAGGTGAGTTTAACCCCATCATCTTCCCTCAATGAGTTGCAATATGTCTTGGTAACCATAATTTTCATWTCAGAGATGAGACTAGTGGTATGGCTGGTAATGCACTTCAAAATGCAAGGTACTACCAGCATCAACAAAACGAGCAACACTGCAGGCCCAGCTACTGCTGTTAGCAAGGTAGTCAGCCACAGGGACCAGTTATGCCAGGATTGGAATAGTCTTTGCTCCTGGGTCCCGTGATAATATTTCTCCTTCTATTGTCACAGAATGACAGAATGTTCAAGGTTGGAAGGGACCTCTAGAGATCAACTAGTCCAACCTTCCCGCTCAAGCAGGCACTCCTACAGCATGTGGCACAGGGTGGCATCCAGGCGGCTTTGGAAGACCTCCGGAGAAGGAGACTCCACAGCCTCCCTGGGCAGCCTGTTCCACTGCTCTGTCACCCTCACAGTGAAGAAGTTCCTCCTCACCTGGAGATGGAACTTCCTGTGTTTCAACTTATACCCATTTCCCCTTGTCCTGTCACTGGCCACCAATGAGAAGAGCTTGTCCCCTTCCTCCCTACATTCTCCCTTCATGAACCTATACATGTTAATCGTATTCCCTCTCAGCCTTCTCTTCTCCAGAGAAAACAAGCCCAGCTCACTCAGTCTCTCCTCATACAGGAGATGTTCCATTCCCTTAATCATCTTAGTTGCTCTTCTCTGGACCCTCTCGAGAAGCTCCACGTCCCTCTTATACTGGGGAGCCCAGAACTGTACTCCAGGTGCGGCCTCACCAGAGCTGAGTAGAGGGGCAGGATCCCCTCCCTTGRCCTGCTGGCAACACTCCTCCTGATGCAGGCCAGGATCCCATTGGCTTTCTTGGCCACGAGGGCACACTGCTGACTCATGGTTAACTTGGTGTCAACCAGGACTCCCAGGTCCCTCTCCGTGGAGCTGCTCCATCACCTTTCCAGGGACGGAGGTGAAGCTGACCAGTCTGTAATTGCCCGGCTCCTCTCTCTTTCCCTTTTTGAAGACTGGAGTGACATCGGCTCTCTTCCAGTCCTCGGGCACCTCCCCTGCTCTCCAGGACCTCTCGAAGATGATGGACAGAGGCTGAGCCATAACCTCGGCCAATTCCCTCAGCACTCTTGGGTGCATCCTGTCAGGGTCCATAGATTTTTGAGTGGCCAGTTTGTCTAAGAGATCCCTAACCCAATCCTTCTCAACCAGCAGAAGGTCTTCCTCTCGCCCATTTATATCTCTGTCAGCTGAGCCCTGCAGTTC